CTCTCTCTCACACACACACACACTTACACACTCTCTCTCTCACACACACACACACACACACAAACAAACACACACACTCTCTCACACACATAAACACACACTCTCTCTCTCTCACACACACACAAACAAACACTTACACAAACTCACACTCTCTCACACACACACACACACTCACTATAACAGACACAAACACTTACACACACACACATGCACACACACGCTCACTATAACAGACACACTTACACACACACACACACACTCTCACACACAAACACACACACACACACACAGACCAGCAACTGAACCTGTATGTTAAAAATGGTACATTATAAATCGCACAGAATGAAGTGTTTTGAGAATCTAGAAATGCCTGTAGTTTTGTGTGAGGGGTAGGTTTAGGGTAAGAGGATAGATATAAAATTCAGTTTGTACAGTATAAAAACCATCATGTCTGAATTAACCCATAATGATAGGAATACCTGCGAATGTGTGTGTGTGTTTGTGTGTGTATTAACAAACAGATACAGAAAACTGATTCTAAATTCACTTTATTCTGATTTGGCAAAAATCATTTTTCACATGTTCTTTATTATTTCTCTTAAGGCCAGTTCACACCGCACCGACAGCTGGCTGAGTACAGTACATCACTCCAAGACCCAACAAACACAGATTCAATTGATAAAAACAAGCGCTGACCAACGGCAACAGACACCGACGGGTAACAACCAAACCCAACTACAGTGTCTGTTTGTCAGTGTCTGTCAGTGCAGAGTGAACTGGCCTTTATGTCATTGTATGTATCATTATAGACTATTATTTCCTTTTTCTCAAAAGCTAAAGCTGTGAGAACAAATAAATATAATCATTTGGTCCTTAAATGTGAAATCTAGGCATCATGGTATTGAAGGGGAAATTAGACAATCTCACTATCAGCACAAAACACTACGAAACAGCACTGGGCACAACATGACAGATTCAAACTGGGAAAGGTGTGTGTGTGTGTGTGTGTGTGTGTGTCACTGAAGGGAAGCGGCTACAGTACAAGAGCAAGAGAAAGATGAAAGCTGCTCTGGTCCAGATGAAAGACCATAATGCGTCGGCTGTTTATCGTGACACTAAAGGACAGTGAGAGGCAGACACGCTCTCGGTGGAACTGAAGCGCTGCTGTGCGCTCGCTGTTTAGTGCAACACACAACACTAGTTCAGTTACAGCAGAGTGAGAATATGAACGTTAAAGTCATATTGTCCAAAACTAACATCAAACACCTGAGACAACAAACTACTAACGGATTGCTTCTATTTTTTATCAAAAGAATTATACTGATATATATTTTCTTTACAGTTATTTAAATAAGTATCGTCACATCTGTGATGCTAATTATTAGTTATATAATGGGCAAATGTTACACTTTGGTGATTAAAAAAGAGACGAGAGGGGGTATATTTTCAGATATTAAACGTCAGTCAGTTTATGCAGACTCAGGTGGTGAGGTTTCTGAGCATGCTGACACAGCCATCAGTAAAATAACATTAAACGATTTAACTAAAAGCCTCACACATAAGGTCAATGCCAATATTTTGTGAGAGAATGCAAAAGCTTTGAAATGTAATCTCATTTTGTTCCATCACAGTGTCCCTTTAGGGAATCCGCTTATATATTCTTGCATCAATAGAAGCACCAAATGGAAACTAGCCATAGCAACAATAGTTCTCCTTTCCTATGAGAATATAAAGCCAAAATCGATTCACACAAGAAATCCTGTAGCATTGCTTCATCATTTGATTCCCTAAATATGTCCTTTGGTCATTTTTCACTCGCGTCTCAAGGTGGTGAGATTTTAATTTTGATTTGCATACTGATCAGGTAAATATCTGGCTAACGAGAACGACATAACACAAGTACACAAAACTGGTTAGAAGGATACAATTGTAGTTTCTTTTTTCATGTAGAAATTATTTTTCTGTTTAACACACTATGAACAATGCACCATTTATAGTTTACAGGCAGTGTACACTAAATCCACACAGATTCGTTCTGTCGAAACGACTTTCCAGACTCAAAATGTTTTATTCCAGTATGGTGCCCAAAGGATTCCAGGACACTTTATATTAGACTCATGAACTAAAATGCAAAAAGATCAGCTATATTTCTAATCCTGTGACAAAAGTTCAGTCACTAATATTCAATGACAGAAGGTGTGATGGTAATTCCCTAGCTGGTGCTCGGCTTAGAGAGGTCATTTTATAGTCTCCAGGTTGTGAGTGATCTGATCCGAAAATGCTATTTGTGTTCTGGAGGAGATGTTATATGTCTTATAAAATGTTCTCTGGTGTTCTGATACTTTTTATTTTTAACAAGGCTGTGCAAATGCATCTTAAAGTAATGGCAGTTTTGCAGTTGTTACATTCCCTTTAAGAAATTTTTGGCAAATGACAGAATGTGCGTCCATTCTGTGAAAAACTTAAAAGCATTAATTTACCAGATCCCTGTTGAAAAGACCAGCGTTTATACTCAAGTATGACTTTAGGGCCTCTGTAGAAAGATCATGCTGGTTCTCTAGCACAGTGGTTCCTATCCCTGTTTTTGGAGGTCCCCAAACACTGTACATTTTCAATGTCTCCTTTATCTGATACATACCAATTTCAGGTCTTGGAGTCTCTACTAAAGAGCTGATGACCTGAATCAGGTGGGAAACATGCAGAATGTTCAGTGTTTGGGGCTCCACAAGCAGGGTTGGAATCCACTGTATCTTGCATGTTTTGCTGGAGATCAACATGAATACATTGGTTCACCAGTCAGACCGCTGCAATTCAAACTGGTCTTTCTTTGCCTCTTTTGTTGAAGTGGAGATGGACTGGAGGACTGTAGATGAGGAGGCAGTGGAAGCAGGAATGGGAGATGGACTTAAGGTTGGAGTGGGCAGAACGTTTAAGGTCTGAGTCTGGTTAGCAGCGGGCTTCTGTGGCTGTGAAGCAGCTGGAGATGGAGTTGATGAGGGAGAAGGTGATGGTGCAGCAGCAGGGGCTTTAGCAAGTGGAGCTTGTGTCTGCGATTGGGTCAGAACAGGGGTTGACGGTCCACTTTGGGCTGGGGTATTGATGGGAGAGCCTGGGGTCCAGGAAGGGCTCAGAGTCTGTATGGTAGTTGTGGTTTGGGTTTGACTGGAGACTGCAGAACAAGTCGAAGGAGGACCGAGAACATGGACAGCGGCTGGCATCTGGAAAGCAGCACTCTGACCCATGGTGGAACTCATAGGTTTACTTGGAATCTGAGTGGGAAGCGGACTCTGAGCGGAGGTTGAGGTCGGAGCTTGTGCAGCTGCTGGGATCTGGACAGGAGTTGGACACCAACCCTGGGATTGGGTTTGGATGGCCACTGGTGTTCTAGATTGGGTGGGGGTCTGAATAGGGGTTTGAACAGTGGTTGGGGTTCGGGTCGGGGTGGGGGTTTGAGAAGGAGTGATGGTGGGCGTTGAGTTGGTGGTGCAGGATAATGGGGACGGCGGAGGAGGCATCTGAGAGGGTCTGGTACGGGAATTCTGAGCCAAAGAGGTGCTGGAAGATGAAGTTGGAGAGGTGGAGGTGGACTGAGAGGGAGAAGGAGTGCGTAGGCAAGGAGGAGGAGAGGTTGAAGGAGGAGTAGGTATTGCAGTGCCTGATTTGGCTTGCTGGGTTTGAGGAACCCCTAGACCAGAAGATGTGGCCGCGAGGGATAAAGGAGGGTTGGTGGAACAAAGAGGGGTTTGCTTCGGGGAGGATGAGAAGGGGGCAAGGGGTGACGGAGTTAATCCAGGAGCTGATGTGAGTGGAGGTGTGTGTGCCAACAGCAGGGGTGTTTGTGTCGGCACCTGTGTGGCACCAGGCGCATTTGAGCTCAAAACACCTGCACTTCCTCCTCTAGCAAGTCCTGATGACAAAAGGAAGGGTGCCGGAAGCAGGTTTCCTCCGGATGCTTTGCGATGGAGAGGCGGGCGAGGTTGCACGCTCGCCCAGCTGCGGTGGGGGAGAGTCGGCTGGGAGGCAGAGAGCAGTCTGGCCTCCTGGGTAAGCCGACCAATCATAGGAAGGCCCTGGGTGCTGCCTCCTCCAACATGACGTAGTAAAGCCTCTTTGGCCCCCTGCGGAGCAGAGCCAACATTGTGCCCTTCGACGGACATCGCCACCACTGCTGAAGAGGGAGGAGGGGCTTTATGGACAGGTAATGTTGTGGGTTCTGTGTGGAGGCGGAGACTGTAATGAAGTGTCCTTCCAGCCTGCAGGGGGGCGGGCACTGACAAGGCAGGTGTAGGAGGAGTTTTTACAACTACACCCCCTAAAGGAACCATGCCCACAGCAGTCGGTCCAATAGTGGAGGGCAAGGGTGTAGGAGTTACAGAGGACGGGACTCCTCGGGGGGGCATCCCGCCCATTACGCCGATGAGAGAGCTGAGCGACTGCCGAGGGTGTAGTATGGGCGGACGGGGAGGAGAAAGCGGGCAGGACGAGGGTGATGGTGAGATGGGAAGAGCGGAGGGAAGGAAGATGGCAGCTCCAAGGGCATGTTGCTGTTGTAGCTGCTGCTGCAACTGTTGCTGCTGCTGTTGCTGATGCATCAAGGCAATGGCCACGTTGGTGGTGGCAGCGGCCGTCTGTAGGGGAGCATGGACCAGTGGTGCCCAGATCACCGGATGAGGTCGGGGTGAGACCGTGCCTCCCGTGCTGCCTCGGGTGCCAGCGGTGATGTCCATGCTATCGTGCTTCACGATTTGCTGGACCAGAACACTGTCGCAAGAACCCAGACCGGCGCCTCCTGCTCCTCCTCCGCGGCTCCCTCCACCCCGTCCCAAACTGCTGCCTGCTACAGATCCTCCCTGTGAGGTCTTGCGCAACAAAATCGAGTTCTTCTTACCTGTGAGAAAAAGGAATTCAGAATAGGGTTAGGATAAATTATTAATGAGCTTGTCATGTATGGACTCATTATATGGTGTTTTGACATTTTTTGTCAGTTCCCATTTCCATTCTTTTCACTGTAAACGTCTGGGATATGGATTTAGAATGACATGAAGGTGAATAAATGGTGACAGATGTTTTCAATTTGTTTTTAACTACAAAATCAGCTATAAAGTTGGAGGACAGTTTTACCGATGCGATCGAGTCTGTCCACCGCCACCGTCTCGAAGGCCCGTCTCATCATGGGATGCTCTTCCAGAACCTCATTGAAACTGTCCACACTTAGGGAGTAAAGTCTACAGTATGTATCTGCTCGGACACTAGCTGTCCTCCTGCCGTGCGTCAACAGACAGATCTCTGAGGGATGGAGAAACACCACGAGGAGGTTAGAAAGGACTCTTTAGGACAATTAAAGACGTAAACAACCAGACCAAGGCAATAAACCTGGTTCTGAAGAGCTCATAACTAATATCTGACATCAGCCACTTCACACTCAGCCCATAAATTCACCTCCAAAGTATGACCCATCACTGAGCTTGGTCTCCTTGTTGCCACGAGTTATTACGCTGACCCGTCCGTGCTGGATGAAATACATCTTACGACCGACAGTTCCCTCGCGAATGATGAAGTCATTGGGCTGGAACACCTCAAACTTCAGCTTCGTTAGCACTGCCGTTACAAAGTTTGGGTCGGCGTTAGCGAAGAGAGGCATGTTAGCCACCAAGCATCGGCAGTTGAAGCTAACAATTTCCTGTTAGGATCACAGTGCACAAGTAGACATTAATTAGCTGGTTAAAGTTTGCACAATGCAACAACAAAAACAGTTACTACCACAATAATGCTGATGTTTTCATAAGCTTCAAATTTAAACTAAAATAGTCCTGCGATATCTGCGATAACGAATTTCAACCCTAATGCATGAAAAGAGCTGAATAGTAAACTTTAGGGAGTCATGAGTTTAGTACAAACCTCCTTTAAGGGCTCGCTTAGCTCTCCCAGAATGTTGTCCTCGTCAAACATCTTGCCCTGGTATCGATGTTCATAATACTCGTGGATCTTCTGCCTGACATCTGCTGGAAGCTTATGGAACGACATGTACTGCTCCACCTGCTTATACTGGACATCAGATGCTCTCTGTTAGTCAGAACGCCAGCACATCAGACTGATTGGGAATTATGGAATAGATTTAATAACGATTTATTCATGAAGTCACCAGAGATCAACATTGTCCAGGGCTTTACCTTCTCCTGGTACTGTCGGCGTGAGGAGTCCAGGGACTGGATGAGGGCCGTGGCGTGGCCGATGAACATGGCGTAGCAGGTCGCGCCCACGATCATGCTGAGCATCGTGAGCCAGACATCCGTCATTCCCTCTGGAGCCTGAGCGCCGTAACCGATGCACAGCATGTGACTCATGGCCTTAAACAGTGCATACGTGTATTGGATGCCCCACGTGTCGTTCTGAAACACAGATCACACGGCGGACAGTAAACGACTGCATCCACACCATCTGACTGATGCTTGAGCTTCAGCGCTCTCAGAAGGATCACAAACACGTGACTCACAGCACTGGGGTCAGTTTAGGGTTTGGGGAAAAATGTCTATATAAAGATGATCCATACACCTTCATTTACTGGCACTGGAAATATGATCAACTCTTTTTGTTCTTTATTTGTTATCTCCTTTTATCTCTTTTCCACTCTTTTCTACTGTACAGATTAAATTTTACATACATACATACATAAATAAACATTATTATTATTATAAAGCACCAATTTCCATAAGATTCCAAACAATAATTAAGAGATTTAAAAATAAAAATACTGTAAAAAATACATTTATAATTTATACTAAGGTTTAACAAAATCTAATTGGTGATATTTTTGTATCATTAAGGCACTAGTTTTTTTATAGTACCGTTATAGTTATATAACTATACAGTACTTTATAGTTAAAGTTGTAGCAGTTTTTGTGTTTTTGTCATTTTTATTATTACATTTTGTTTTTAAGTATGTCTATATAGTTATTCATTTTTATTTCATTTTTAGCTATTTTAGTACAAGTTAAACTAAACGAAAATGATAAATGTTGCCCTGAAAAGTTTTTATATATTCTATTTTATAATTATTTCAAGTAATGAAATATTTTTAATGGTTTTTAGTTTGTTAACTATAATAACCCTAAATCAAAGCAAAAAAAAAAACAAAATAAAAAAATTAAATGAATCCAGTTTAGAAATTGGAATTAAATCAAACAATATATTTAAATATAAAATCCCCAAAGGTTAAAGGTTATAGTTAGTTAGGGTTAGGGTTAGTCAGTGAGAGTTAGTGATTAGGGTTAGTCAGTGATAGTTAATGATTAGGGTTAGTCAGTGAGAGTTAATGATTAGGGTTAGTCAGTGAGAGTTAATGATTAGGGTTAGTCAGTGACTGCCTGAAGAGCTCAGAGACAGAATTGTGGCAAGGCACAGATCTGGCCAAGGTTACAAAAAAATTTCTGCTGCACTTAAGGTTCCCAAGAGCACAGTGGCCTCCATTCCTTAAATGGAAGACGTTTGGGATGACCAGAACCCTTCCTAGAGCTGGCCGTCCGGCCAAACTGAGCTATCGGGGGCGAAGAGCCTTGGTGAGAGAGGTAAAGAAGAACCCAAAGATCAGTGTGGCTGAGCTCCAGAGATGCAGTCGGGAGATGGGAGAAAGTTGTAGAAAGTCAACCATCACTGCAGCCCTCCACCAGTCGGGGCTTTATGGCAGAGTGGCCCGACGGAAGCCTCTCCTCCGTGCAAGACACATGAAAGCCCGCATGGAGTTGTGAGATGGTGAGAAATAAGATTCTCTGGTATGATGAGATCCAGATAGAACTTTTTGGCCTTAATTCTAAGCGGTATGTGTGGAGAAAACCAGGCACTGCTCATCACCTGTCCAATACAGTCCCAACAGTGAAGCATGGTGGTGGCAGCATCATGCTGTGGGGGTGTTTTTCAGCTGCAGGGACAGGACGACTGGTTGCAATCGAGGGAAAGATGAATGCGGCCAAGTACAGGGTTATCCTGGACGAAAACTTTCTCCAGAGTGCTCAGGACCTCAGACTGGGCCGAAGGTTTATCTTCCAACAAGACAATGACCCTAAGCACACAGCTAAAATAATGAAGGAGTGGCTTCACAACAACTCTGTGACTGTTCTTGAATGGGCCAGCCAGAGCCCTGACTTAAACCCAATTGAGCATCTCTGGAGAGACCTAAAAATGGCTGTCCACCAACGTTTATCCAACCTGACAGAACTGGAGAGGCTCTGCAAGGAGGAATGGCAGAGGATCCCTAAATCCAGGTGTGAAAAACTTGTTGCCTCTTTCCCAAAAAGACTCATGGCTGTATTCGATCAAAAGGGTGCTTCTACTAAATACTGAGCAAAGGGTCTGAATACTTAGGACCATGTGATATTTCAGTTTTTCTTTTTTAATAAATCTGCAAAAATGTCAACAATTCTGTGTTTTTCTGTCAATATGGGGTGCTGTGTGTACATTAATGAGGGAAAAAAATTAACTTAAATGATTTTAGCAAATGGCTGCAATATAAAAAAGAGTGAAAAATTTAAGGGGGTCTGAATACTTTCCGTACCCACTGTATATTTCATGACGGAAATTACCGCACACCCCAAACAATTCTGCTCATTTTGTTTTGGAAACACCGCTCGTTCTGCGTCGTCATGTCACATAGCATCGCATCTGGTCATTACATCCTGTTTTTGGTTCGTTTAGAAGTATTTGGTCCATGTTGCCTTCATATTTCATTCGAACCACACCAGAGTTCGTTTGGAAGCAGACCGAGACCCATCATTTTAGGGGTCTCGGTTCGCTTCTTTGGTGCGCACCAGGGTTCGGATGGCAGCGTTCACACTTCCTCAACCGAACTGAACCGCACTAACAGAGCAATCGCACCAGAGTTTGTTCTAATCGAGCCAAACATGACAAGTGTGAACACACCCTTAAAGGCAATGTATTCATGAAGTCACCAGAGATCAACATCGTCCAGGGCTTTACCTTCTCCTGGTACTGTCGGCGTGAGGAGTCCAGGGACTGGATGAGGGCCGTGGCGTGGCCGATGAACATGGCGTAGCAGGTCGCGCCCACGATCATGCTGAGCATCGTGAGCCAGACGTCCGTCATTCCCTCTGGAGCCTGAGCGCCGTAACCGATGCACAGCATGTGACTCATGGCCTTAAACAGTGCATACGTGTATTGGATGCCCCACGTGTCATTCTGAAACACAGATCACACGATGGACAGTAACGACAACATCCACACCATCTGACTGATGCTTGAGCTTCAGCGCTCTCAGAAGGATCACAAACACGTGACTCACAGCACTGGGGTCAGTTTAGGGTTTGGGGAAAAATGTCTATATAAAGATGATCCATACACCTTCATTTACTGGCACTGGAAATATGATCAACTCTTTTTGTTCTTTATTTGTTATCTCCTTTTATCTCTTTTCCACTCTTTTCTACTGTACAGATTAAATTTTACATACATACATACATAAATAAACATTATTATTATTATAAAGCACCAATTTCCATAAGATTCCAAACAATAATTAAGAGATTTAAAAATAAAAATACTGTAAAAAATACATTTATAATTTATACTAAGGTTTAACAAAATCTAATTGGTGATATTTTTGTATCATTAAGGCACTAGTTTTTTTTATAGTACCGTTATAGTTATATAACTATACAGTACTTTATAGTTAAAGTTGTAGCATTTTTTGTGTTTTTGTCATTTTTATTATTACATTTTGTTTTTAAGTATGTCTATATAGTTATTCATTTTTATTTCATTTTTAGCTATTTTAGTACAAGTTAAACTAAACGAAAATGATAAATGTTGCCCTGAAAAGTTTTTATATATTCTATTTTATAATTATTTCAAGTAATGAAATATTTTTAATGGTTTTTAGTTTGTTAACTATAATAACCCTAAATCAAAGCAAAAAAAAAAACAAAATAAAAAAATTAAATGAATCCAGTTTAGAAATTGGAATTAAATCAAACAATATATTTAAATATAAAATCCCCAAAGGTTAAAGGTTATAGTTAGTTAGGGTTAGGGTTAGTCAGTGAGAGTTAGTGATTAGGGTTAGTCAGTGATAGTTAATGATTAGGGTTAGTCAGTGATAGTTAATGATTAGGGTTAGTCAGTGATAGTTAATGATTAGGGTTAGTCAGTGATAGTTAATGATTAGGGTTAGTCAGTGA